GGCCCGGGCCAGAATACAGCATTATAAGAGAGTGACAAGCTCCTATAGCTTAATTAGTTGGTTAGAGCGCATGCTTAGTAAGCGGAGTTCCTGAGTTCGACTCTCAATGAGACCATTTTATTTTTTCGATATTTCTATATTTTGCTTTGATTGTATTAGTACGCAAGGAATACAATCGATACATGTTGTATCGCCTTGGTTGTATCAGTTGTGCGAATTAATACAGTTGATATATATTGTATTTTGTCTTAGTTGTATTAGTTGTGCGAACGAATGCAGTTGATACATATAGTGTTCATTATGCGAAAGATATTTCGCCTTGGTTGTATTAGTTATGCGAATGAATATAGTTAACACATGTTGTATTCGTTGCACGAACAAACGAATACAATTGAATAGTAACTACGAATGATAATTAGGCACGATATAATTCCATACAATAATTAGGCTTTAAACTATACTGCTATATGAAAATTTCTCAAAAGTAAAGTAGGCGTTTGTGTACTTGTGTTAACGTGGAAAAGAGTTGTGAAAAATTTAGTTGTATTTGTTGTTAAAACAAAAAGAAAGTTTTAGTTTTGCTAAAAAATAATTTTAACCTCAAAAAATTTGTAAAAGTTAAAAACTTTATTAATTGATGCCACCATATCACTTATGGTAGGCAGTGCTAGAGGAAGGATTTTTATTATGGGAATTCAAAATATAAAGAAAGCATACGAAAAAGTCAAGGGATTTAAATTATTATTTTTTTGGTAATTAAATGATTTTATTTATCAGAATCAATATGTACAATGTCAAAATTGAGACTGGACAACCCCAGTCTCATACAACTTCAACTACAAATCTTTTATATTCAAACTAAGGATAGAAATTCATTTCTGCTATTTTCTTCTCTGGCTTACTATCTCTTAATAAAATTTGTCTAACTATCATTCACGGTGTCTTCTGTTGTTCTTGAAATACCCTCTTATTTCTTTTACTCCATATATGATATACAACACATGCCAAAGTCAGCCTATATACTTGAGCAGATGTATTGTTTCTTGATGCCATGTCTTCAGCCCATTGTATCTCCCTTTGCCACTCCATCGAAGGTCTGGTTATGCCTTGCCAATAGAGCAGCTTACTCCATATAATTCCAGCTATTCCACATCTAAACATCAAGTGATCTATGGTCTCACCTGCATCATTATACAAAGGGCAGGTTACTTCGTCTACAATCTCCCACGCATGGAATCTACTCCTGTAACGACCCGATCAGTCGTTTTGAGCTTTTGCACTTTGCTCGCCA